ATCTATTGTGATATTTTATTTAAAAACTTGTTATAATTATTTTTAATTCTAGGTAAACGTAATTTAGATCAAGAAATGGATCATATTGCCCGAATAAGATTTAGCGAATTTGCCGAATGGATCAAGAAACGGGTCAGTTTTATTCTTTGCGAATAAGTTTGTCCAACAATTATCTGTTTTTTAATGAATTTAAAATTATTTCCAGGTTTTCCAAAGCGAAATTATCAACAAGATTCGCAAATACATTAAAAATTTCATCACTAAAAATTCAGTAAACAAAAATTATTTTCTTCCCCTTAATAAATTCCTAATTCAAATAATAACTTAAAACTTATGAATATATTTAGTGAAATAATTTATTAACGTATTTCGTTTCTATGAATAATTATTTTATATTTCTCTTAGGAGTTACGAAAACTAAAAGAAGTTTTATTAAAATTGAAAGAGGACGACTTTCTTGAACTTTTGGACTTGACTTTTCAAAGTTATAACAATAAAAATTACTGTGACAATAAATCTAAAGAAAGAATAAATGAATTATTTAAAGACTTGGAAGAAGATCTTCGCGAAAAAGCAAAAAAATTACAAGAGTTCCTTAAAGATAGATGGTTATTTGGTCTGGAAAAACTTAGGTCTGGTTTTAGTAGAATCACAGCTTTGGGTATTGAAGTGAGTAAACTTATAGATTTTTTTATATAAATAATATTGTATATGAATCATGCTTTATTTATGTATTTACATTTATATATGTACATTTATATATGTATATCTAGATTATTGGTGACGGTAAAGATATCAGTGTAGAGACAGCCAGAAAAGCTATTGAATTTTTTCAAGAATATAAAGATGATCTAGGATCACTCTGGGATCAAATTAATGAAACCACGAAGAGCCACATTGGACAATTCTAAACATGCAAAAGATTTTAGATATATATCAATTTTAGTATGTATTAATAGCACTAAATAAATATTTCAAATATTTTTATGGCTTATTAAAATATTGAATATACTTTTCAAGATTATGTAGTGAATATTTTTACACATGGATTAGTTCATCGAGATGCTTACATTTTGCAAAATTAAGTAATATCTGCGATTATTAAATATACTATAAAGTGTATTAGTTGTATTTTGTTTTCACACATGAAACTTTCAAGATAAAATATTTTGCTGAAATTATCAGTCATAAGAATAGAACGATACAATTATTGTTAAATGTAAAGACAAAGAGACAAACATTCTATCGTCTGTATAGAAAAAATCTATATGTGCAGTAATAGACAAAATGTCTTCAATTAATCGCAAAACGTCATTTCACATGATAACTATTTTTTTCAATTTTAATATATTATTGATCAATCAGCTATCATTTTATAAATACTCGATATTTTTAAAATGAAATCTTCAAAAAGACCACAAAAGAGGTGTCGGCTCTCGAAAGAGCTATTAAGTATATGCAGAATCTTATATTCTTCGGTAGCTTGGTGTCGTATACTATCTCGTAAATCTAGGCGAAAAAAAGTGACGAAACGTCTATTGCTTAAATCCAAAACTAGCCAACGAATTTATTCAAGTTTTAAGACGTCTCATCTTGGATACTAAATATTTTAAATTTCATTCAAATCGGTTCAATGGTCTTGGAGATATTAACGGTCAAAATTGTTACTTTGCAATTGCACGTGTGGTGAGCTTTGCCAGAATTAATAGATTATCTGGTCTCTGAATGCCTATTGTTCTCACTCTTAAAAGTAAAGGTAATCTCTACTTTATCCTCAAACTTCTTGTAACATATAAGAGCCTTTGTGATTAATTCCTTATCTTCACGTGGAATGAATCTTCTCCAGCATTCCAAATAATTTTCTGACACCCTAAAAAGTGTTTTTATTTTCTTTTTCACTAGAGTAGATGCAATTGCACCCGGGAACAAAGTACGTTGGCATGTTTGCTTATGACTAAATGAGTAAAATCTAAATGACTAAATAACTAAATGCCTTAAAGATTAAACGCTAATAACTAAATCCGTTAATTAATAAATGCTAATGACTAAATGACTAAAAACAAATGATTAAACGACTGTAAAATAAAATGCCTTCTACTGTTTTCACACTGTAGCAGAGCTCAAACATTCGAAGTGCCTCCAGCGGCCAATAAAGTCATTTCCAGTACTTTTCCGCTCACAGTCAATGACTAGATAATCCATTGACTCTGGCTTTACTAAAGAGAGCTACTGCTAAATTATAACTTATCCCGACATCGGTATACAAGGGACAATGATCGCGATAATTTTTTTTTATTTTACAATTATTATTTTAAAAATTTGACAAGAAACCATTATTCGTCGCTGTATACCGTAGAGTGATATAAAACTCTTAAAATTAAACTTCACTATGGTAAAACATTACAATCACATGATTTTCTGCGTTAAGTTTTAGATTGCAATGTTTTAATATAATGAATACCATCCGACCCTTTCCATTCATGCTTGTTGCAAAGGTTCAGAACTTCAGACAAGTATCGTTTCAAACCAAACATGGCGAAGAATGTTGAATGCTCCTTCTTCGAATCCAGTACGTCTCTGAACCGAACCGCTCCTTTATGTATAAACACTCGCATTTAAAAATCATTGGACAATCTTTATCTGATCGTTACGGAACATTACCGTTACGTATCTGAGTGGAAAGTATAAATAGACCTTTATACGTTGTTAATATCAATTGGAATGTATAATAAATACATGAAGTTAATTGCCCTTGAACATATAACATAGTAGAAAATTACAATATAGAAAAGTGTGTATAAACCAACCGCCATCATATTAAACAGAAACTTTATGAATAATTGAATATTAAAGATAAAAGATATTTCTTTCCAGCAACGTATCAATTGATCTATTTTTCTAATCATCCTCATTCCTTTCACTATCAGAGATTAGCAGCAGTTCTTCTTTTATCAAAATACTTTCAAGGTCTTAATATAAAGTTTTTTTTTAATAAATACATTCTTAAGGAAATGAGACATTAAATCTCATTAATATTTAACATCTCATTACATTCAAATAGCATAAATTGAAGATAACGTCTTTGCTCTGACTGTTCAAATATATGAACAGTTAAAGCAAAGACATGATTGATATATATACATTATATTGTACATGTTATCAATACATAATCCTGAGTATATGCGTAAATTAACAAAAAGTTATTAACGTCAGGATTATAATAAATTGCATTTAATTAAACATATACCTCGTGGAAATGAAATACGAACATATGACATATTCTCATAAATAATATATTAGATAATAAAAATCCGGATGTGCAGATAAAAATAGCTGGAATACATAAGTAATTGAAAGTTAAAGGAATAAATTATAAATTGGTGTAGTATATAACATCATTATTATCATATAATCCTACAAAAAAATAAGACTATTATCATTTACACTATATTGAAGAGAATTTTAAAAAGTCAGAAGTGTACGAAGTGACTATCTATAATTACTTTAAATATATTTCTTCTAGATAGAAATAGTCTATATATGTTACTGATAAAGCTAGAATTAACCGGCTAATGATAACTTTATTCAAGTCTTTCGGTTAAAGCAAGTAACAATGTATTCATTTTGAACTTTATCCATGCACAGCAGATAAAGTTGACATTATTCATTTAAATGTTTTCAGACATTTTATCAAAATATCAATAGATTTAGCTAAAAATCGTCATTAAGCTTTAAAATAACAGTAAGACGTAAGCTTAATAATTTACAGGATAATGATGTGTACATAGACCTTAAATGGCGTATATCAGAGATTGGTCATTATATTAAATACAATTGAAAAAAATATAAAAGATCTTCTGACGAAGCCTTTAATGTCTTTGCATACTGTGTGCCAATTAGCCTCAAATAAAAGATAAGTTTGCTTTTACGTGATCCTATGGGTTGTCATAAGTGAGGTAGCATTGTGATGAAATTCGATGGATACCGAGCATTAGGCAGGCAACAACTAACCTGAAAAAAATAAGTGAATAATTCTAATTAAACTATTTTTATTAAAATTAATCATTGAACATTATTTAATTATTTGTTGAATCAATCGTACTTATTTGACTTGCATATTTCAATTAAGTTTTTGTTAGATAGTTTGGCCGTTTCCATTGGGAACAAAGACGAATCCACATTGAACACGATTAAAAATAAAGATCCTTCTTAGTGCCCACAGGGCGGGAAAAGTTTTAAAAAAAGATACACTATAGTCAGATGCAGCCATTGATCCATCGTCCATAATTGTATAAAATCATCGATAGTTTTAAAGCCATCGCACAGCATTACGCGGGGACAATAGAACATGACGAGTATGAGTATGGGTGGTGTATATATGCAAGCACCTACAGCCAACAGTTCTTATTTGACAGTTTTTAATTTTTTGTAAAAACAAAAACTTAATAATTTTATCTTATTATTTAAAACACTTTAAAATTTAATTAAACTTTTTCAAATCTAAAATATAAGAATTAATTAATTGAAAAATTGTATTAATTGTTTTAAGATTATTTCTAATTTATTTTAAATAAATTGCTTCCAAGAGTATTGTTTATAAAATGTATCCTCAGAATATTTTCTAAAATGCTAATTTAAAAACAAGAATTCTTCAACTAAAATTTCCTCATTAATTTTCTATATTTCGAGCTAATCTATATATATAACCCATTCATTTCGTGTCCGTCCCGTAACCGTTTCATAACGGACACTAGAGGCGCCCCTATCGTGTGTCATATTTCAAACACCAAATTAAATTAACAATTTTAATTATTATTTAAATTAACAATATAAATTATTATTATTCATTTGGCCAATAAATTATTATTTGGTCAATATAACAATATAAATAATTCAGTATATTTGTAATAGGAATTTATTATTTCAGGGGCTTATATCTCGCGAAGGATCGGGAGTAGGGGTATGGTTCCTTTGACTTTATTGTTCGCACAGGGGGCTACAGTTTGGGGGGATCGCCACCTCTTCATTCGGAGGGTAAATCTTACCATTCGGACTTTTACAGAGCTGTAGAGCATATTGATAGGAACAAAAAAGTCAAAGGAACCGTGCCTCATGGAANTGATTTAAAAAATTGCAGCCAAGCACTGTGACTATGTCACAATAAAATAATTACTCGTTTTCTTTTAAAAATTGCTAATTAAAAATTGCTAATTAATTCTTTTAAAAATTGCTATTAAGCCCAAATTGCTAAGATTAAATAGTGAAGTATAAAGAATGTTAATTATTGAATTTTAATCTTATTTAACCCAATTAGGTTTATGTAACAAATTAAATTACTACAATGTAATAAAAATTTTTGTTGTAAATAATCTAATAGAATCTAACACGACTTTATAATTACCTTTTTATTATTTTTTTAATAATCAAAAGTATTCTATAGATAATTAGCATTGAAATTTATCAATGAAATGTAACATATGATTATATTCTCTTTGGAAAATATTTTCTCTGCGTCAAATATTTTAATGATATCAGAAAGTTAATTCTCTCTGAACTAAGGAACACAGATAACAAACAGATGTTAAATTCCTATAGAAACAGATAAGAATTAGCTATATATAATCTAAAAAAGAATTAATTATTACGCCTTTTCTACTTTCCTTAAAGGCTCGGGTAATTTACTATATTAAAGTTGGTTATAGTAGTATCATCTTTTTTTTTTTACTTATTAATGATTAAAATATTTTATTACAGATCATCATGAAAATCTGTATCTTATTGTTTGTTTTTGGGCTTGCTGCTGCCGATTTCTGGCAAGGTAAATTATTTATTTAAATTTTGTATATTTTTAAAATAATATTTATATTTTATCTTTGCAAATTTTAATTCTGTATAGATGCTACTGCCCCATACGTAGATAATGCAGTTAAGTCATTTTTGGAAGGTTTTGGCGAAACTGGTTCACTAAGAACTGCACTTAATCTTCCATATGCTGTAGAATTAGATGAGTAAGTTTCCGTTTTTTTTTTTTTAAAGAAAATACTTATATTTAACAGGTTTTGTTGTTTTAATAAATTAAAAAAATCAAATTACAAATCCTTGGAAATTATTAGTAAATAAATTTTTAACGTTGTGTACTTCCAATATATTACAGGGGAGAAGAGGAAATAAAGGAAGAAGTTGGAAAAAACTTGAAAGACATTCTGAATGAATATTTGGAAAGAATTAAAGATAAAGTGAATAAAGGAAAGGATGTTGCTGAAAAACTTGTTGCAAAGGTTTACAATTCATAATTCTTATTACTATATTAAAATATTAATAATTTTATATAAAATGTGAGTGTACGTGTATAGATGTATGCAATAAATAAATTTAATTAAATTAAGTTTATACTATCATTTTTAAATGTATGAAGATAAGAGAAATAAAAGATAAACTAAAAGATATGAAAGAAGATGCTGGAGAAAAAGCGAAAAGCCTCCTACAGAAATTGAAAGAAAAGGCTAAAGATAAATTTAGAGAACTGTTAGAGAAATATAATTTGGGTACATTCTTATATGAGTATTATTTTAAATATTGGTAAAATAAGTATATATAAAAAATTAATTATTTATTCATAATTTTAGCTAAACGCAGCATAGATTATGAAACTCAATTAATTGAACGATCCACTGTTCACGATATCATAGAAAAACTCAGAGAGAAAGTATGTAAATTATTCATTATAATTTTATTATGCAATTAATTAATTCTATTTTTTTTTTAAATAATTAAATATTTTATTTCCAGCTTCTAAACAACGAAACTATTCGTAAAATCCGCGAATATATCCGAAATTTCGTTACTACAAACCCGGTAAATTTCGGCATTTTTAATTTTATTAATTTATATAAAATTGGAATTTAATTTTATTAATTTTAAATGCTTTAACGATCTTATTAAAATAGTATATATTTCATATTATTTTAGGAACTGCAAAAAATAAAAGAATTTTTGCTGAAATTAAGAGAAGTGGATCTTAAAGAACTTCTTCATACCATTTTCGAAAGACACCCTACAGTCCAACGTGGTGAAACATGGGATAAAGTAAAGGATTGGTTCAAAAATTTAAAGGACAAAGTAGGTGAGCATACAAGGAACATGCTGGAAAAGCTTAAGGAAAAGCTTAACGTTGCTAAAGAAAAATTGAAAGGTCATGCAGAACTCATCAAAGCCTTGGCTAAAGATGTAAGAGAATATTTTACCATTTAATATTATCTCGAATTACGATTCGAATCTATATTTTTATTTTTGTATATATATATATTTACAGTTGATCGAACATGGCAAGGATATTCATGGAGAATTGGCACGAGAAATTATAGAATTTTTCCAACCCTACAAAGATGATTTGGNTGTATATATATATATTTACAGTTGATCGAACATGGCAAGGATATTCATGGAGAATTGGCACGAGAAATTATAGAATTTTTCCAACCCTACAAAGATGATTTGGGATCTTTGTGGAAAGATCTGTTCAAAATTGCTAAGGAAGGTTTAAAAGGCTAAAATCACATTACTTACGCGCAGTTTAATTATATTGAAAGTTATGAAATAAAAAGATTTCATTAGATTCTTTTTGTGTAATGTTTTTCTACGATGATATTCCGGTTAATAAAGTTACTTCAATCTTTATGAAGTAAATATTTATTAAATTCCTTGTAAATAACCGTTTTTTTTAACTTAACTTTAAAAAACGTTAACTTAATTTTGAGCCATTTAAAAAAATCATGTGAAGGACAAGAATACATCTACCGATTCTAAACCCATCATGCTGAAAAGCGTATTTCATACGAAAAGAAAAATAACTAAGCAACGAGTTGCTTAGCTTTCCTGGCAAAAAGATTTCACTGCATATGGAGTCATCTATTGTGATATTTTATTTAAAAACTTGTTATATAATTAATTATTATAAAATGGCAAAACGTTTAATTTTGAGGGTAGAGATGCGTTTTACAAAAATAATAATAATTGTAAATGCTAATAACTAGTAAAGTTTTCATTATGTTTGACCCTACTCGAGATAGGACACGATTCCCTTCTATTTCCCCACCCCCGTCTACCTTTAACCATCAAAATTTAATGGCATCAAATAGCCTAATACACAAACCTACCTGAAAAATTTTAGAATTTTTCGACAGAAGACACAAGAGTTATTAATCTTCAACATGGGTGAAGAAAATCGTGCTTCCCATGCATACACCCACAAACACACTTACATACATTAACATTCATACATACAGAAAAACTACCGATTTTTCAATGTTTCAAGGTTCAGTGAGTCCAAAAATGTAAAAACCTTGGGGGGATCATTCTTTGACCGATTGCCAAACTTTCCTTCTGTCATATATAACAGCCGGAAAAGTAAAATGTAAAATTAAAGCAATGAATGGATACAAAGAACAAAGACACAGGACATCTCCACAAAGTTTTGATTCGTAGTTGAAAATGTTTTTAATCGGTTTTAAAACGCGTTACAGAGCATGTTCAATGTGGTGTCCACCATTTTTGATAAGCAAGTTACATCGCATTACTGTGTTCTCAACAGTAGTTCTTAGCATATCGGGAGTAACCCCACAAACAGTTTCGTTTTAAAACAGATTAAAAACATTTTCGACGACGTCTTCGTGTCTTATTTCGTTTAACAGTATTGCAGACAACGCTATTTTTCCGTTGGTAGTGAGTTTTTGAACTTTTTTTTGCGGGAAATAAAATCCCATGATGTCCTGTATACTATTACCAAGTTTGATAACATTCTGTCCAGTAGTTTTTATTTTATAGCTACTTCAAAGTAAAACTTTAATTATAATCACCCTGTACATTGAGGGAATCCGCATTCTTTTTAGTACATTGTGAGATCAGAGTCGGTGAGATTCCGCCCACTGTCTAGGATGGATTTAATGTTATGTTATAGAAAGATTGAAAGACGTAGTCTTTCGTCAGTTAACTGGTGTCAGGATTCCTGACACCAGTTAAGATAAGATTTACGTCTTAACTCACCACTATTCAATGGATTAATCTTTAACCCGACTCCGAGTGGATGAATCGGGAAATATTAAGTACCGAAGGTCGTATTCGTATTATGGAGTGGCGGAAAAGTCGCTCGCTGGAGGCTCAGACAAATCCCTTTTATAAATTAAACTATTTATATATATTCAAGCATATAAGTTATATACATGGCAGATGTATATAATAACAGGGTATACTAAACTAAGATATAATTCGACTATATCGAGGGTAACTAATTGCTAATACTTGGTCGATTGCCGACTAAGATTGGTTACATAAGAAGTATATTACCTGGCGATAAAGAGGGGCATACAGCCTGAGGCGGGCTATCACTGGCGACTAGGAACCTCGGATCTGAGATTACGGCATGGCTTACTTCAGTTGTTGGATAACCAAAAAAAAAAAGCAGCCTCGAGTGAAGGGATCGTTCCCTTACATAGACAACACGACAGCCAATCGGGTTTCTTCCCGATGCAGTCATATTGGTAAATAATTTCCATTTACCAGGAACTAAGCATTCAATGAATCAGAGGAAGTGGAGGCGAGATGCTTAAATTGGTAAATTTTAATCTTTCTTTCTACTCTCCTAAAGATTCCCAAATATTAATTAAAGTATTTCTTTAAATTTATGTTGAAAATATTCATTTCTTTTTAACCCCTCGACTTTCCTCGTCACATCGAGAATTGACCTTCCCAACTTTCAAAGTCATTTCGAACGGCTGCCAAACCTCTCCCCTCTCAACCGAGGATAATTCATAATTTGAAGTTTAGACTATTTACAAAAAGTCAATTATGACTTTTTGTAAATAGTCTAAACTTCAAATTATGAAGAAATAAATCCTGAGTTATCACAAGAATTGTAACGAGGATAATTCATTTACACCATCGTTACCGTTTACAAAATAACTAGCCAATTAACAAAAACCTCAAATTGTTATAGATAGAGGATAGATAGAGGGTAACCAAAAAGGTCACCCGCAAGTGGAGTCCGAACCGAACCAACTCACACACACTTCCTACTTCGTCCGATTTTAACGAGGATAAAACCGATCAGACGACCCACCAAATGAACAATTATTACTAAGATTGCACTACAAACCCTAACCTTAGTCACCTCCAGCCATCAGTGGCTTGCCGTGACATTTGACGATAGGAAAGCTGTGTTTCTGTAAGAAGCCGACATCCAGGGACAATCAGTCAATTGCGCGTCAGCGATTGTCTAGGGTCCATTCGTATCGTTTATTCCATAAGCCTAAAAGCCCGGAACCGGGCCTTGATAGAATTGGATGCGGTATACGCGTAGCATCCACCCGAGGTCCTAGTCTTCTACCGGCTTAACCGGGTGAGGTAGGTGCTCTGTAAAGTGCGTGCGCGAATCTGGCTTTTTGGATGTCGACGATACGGCGCTTCCACTCCGCAACTAATATTCGAATATACGATAGCGATCTTATTTTTTTTTCACGCGTAGTATAGAAATTTGTAATAAGATACGTAATGCGTTATAATAAAATATTGTGCGATTATTTTCGTATAATTAAAATTAATATGTATTTATTTTTTAGAAAATACGAGGAAAGCGGCGCATCCACCGCTTCCAATGACGGCACGCCACTGCCAGCCATTAATTCCGTTAGTTTGACAACTGTTATCAAATTTATGAGATAGAAAGAGTAACAATACCGGATAGAAGTAATAAATGTACAAAAATGTTTCGATTTCTGACAATTAGTATAAACAACGCCGGACATGTCGAACTTACAAGGGATTGCATCGGAATGTTCCCCGACTTCCTCCCCCTTCGGGACGTGTATAAAAAGGGGTCGCACCCACACCTCGGGGCGATCACCGGAGGGAAGACACCAGGCTAGGATCCTTTCGAACCTCTGCTCCACGCTCCGACGTACAGACTTCTCGGATCTTGATCGCCTTGGCTAAAAAGGTAATCTTTTAGAGAACTAGAGAACTCTAACTCTCGCTCTTTCGGTTATACAGTAGATCGAACTTAGGCTAGTGTAACTTAAAAGATATTGTACCTTATAATGGCAAGAATTTAGACGACTTATCGACGATCGTCTATCCTTGTCGCGATTTAGAAATATTTTTGGATTATTCCCTTTTTGTACCCTTCGATTTGTACTCGTTTGTATAACTTATAGTTAATTAAATATGTTATTCTTATATTTAATTATGTGTCATCCTTGAGTACGACCGAACCCCTTGTCACGACCTCGCTCACTCCTACTCATTTACAATACCGACCATCCCTGACAAAGAAGCCGATAAGTGGGGAGAAGCTCGGAGCTCTACTCCGTCGGTTCACACATATATATAAATATATAAAGAAAATTATTAGTATGTTAATCCTTTCCGGTATTCGCTTTTTCTTTAATTATTTACAAATATTTATTCAGAACCTGTCTCGATCCTTTCTCTATATTATCTTCTCTCCTGTATTATTTGTTTATGGCTGATTAACGAAGATAAGAATAATTAATGTTTAATAATGACAGATCAGTTCAGATTAATTATAACTTATTTTTATTAAAATTAAATGAAATAAACTAAAGTATACGTAAGAAAATAGCTGATAAGTGTAATGATGTTTGTAAATACTGTATTAGATCACCCGTCACTCATTGGATCATTTTCTACTTAATAATAGAAGATAGGGTAAACATTAGTAATTTCGTGATACGTTTTAAATTAAGTAACGTAAGATAATAATGTTTAAATAATAATAGATTTTCTCACATCTAGTAAAAATTGTCACCGTTCTCAGCTGGTCTGTTTTCTTGTAAAAGAGTGTCACATTCTGACATCTTGACAGAGTTTGCTGAAATCCTTCTTTCTTTCACTATAGAGAAGTACCAAGTTAAAGAGAGGTATCCTAATGAAATACAGTAAATCAAGATCATTTGAGAAACATACAAATGGATCTATAGTATTTAACTATTTTAAAGCTAGGTCTTAAACTTCTTCAAATTTGCCATTAGTATTGAAAAAAAATGAATGGGATGAATAGAAACAATAGTTTTTCTATTATTTCTATTCATCCCATTCATTTTTTTCAATACTAATGGCAAATTTGGATAAATGGATAAATAGAAACAAATGTGTTTCTATTTATCCATGAATTCAAAATCATTTTAAAATGAATATATATCACAATTAAATGAACAAATAAATAAATATTCAATACATATACATTTTTATAATTGAATACGTGACTACTTTATTGCTTTATCACTAATTGATCCTGAGGTTATCATTTTTTAAGCTATCTTATTGAAACCCGTAGGATATTGTTTATTTCATTTATTAACTTAGTTTTTTATCTCTACGCGGAATACATTTAAAAGTTTTTATCTGTATAAATGTTTACATAAAACATTAGTAAATCTGTGTTTAAGCAATACAAAATGATAGACATCTTATCATAATTTAAGCAACTTTTTTAAATATCTTATTGTTTTAAAACCTAATTCACAGATTTAAAATCATCAAAGATAATTGTTTTAATTAATTCTGTTATTGTAAACTATTTTGAAATGCTAATTATTTGACATTTTAAACAAAATTTCGCCGAACGGCTCAAATAAGGAACTGAGCCGGTAAATTTATTCGATGTTAATCTCTTATGAGGTTTGATATTCGAATAATTAACGTAAGCCTCCCGTTGCAATTAAATACCGTACCTTCGGTATTATCGAAAGTATAGTCTGGAACCTTAGAACCCTTGTCTTTTCCTTGTGCCATTCGCAGATAAGTAGCAGAGGCAATTTACATGCACGGTAACTGCTATGCATTCTATCATCAGCACCCCAATATCGTCAGCTTCGTTTGTAGTGGTGATGTGATAAAGAAGTATGGAGCTAGTGACTGCTACGGATTGAAAGATCGTCGACTTTAGCAACGAATTCGTATTCTATTTGGAAACTGATGACTACCGTGTGAAAGATCACTGCGAGGATTGAAGACATTACTCCTACTGCTGACGTGCTGGTCTAGGGAGCCATCTAATATGACCGTCGGTCATTCCTAATCACGATGAGTGGGATTTCGACGGTATAACGGTAGGCTGAAAAAATTCTACGCCTTCACGTGTTACTTTTCATAGCAGAATTACAAACATCACCGTTTTCTAATTGGTCTTCCACCTGTCTCCAGGTGTAAATGGAGCTCCGTAAAGTTCGCGAGAAAGGTCGGCTGGAAATGGTTTATCCGACACCATCTTTTCGACTCTGATCGCGTTTAATTGTTGACTATAACACCTATGCTCATTTTAATATTTTTTTTCTAGTTTCGTTTTGCTTTCTAAACTGCGTCTTAACTTTAATATTTTAAATTTTCTTCTTTTTATATCTAAAATTTGGTTTTTCCGTCTACTTTTGATGAGCGTCGACGTCAAAGTCAGGTGTCGCCGTTTCGACACTTATATAAATTGTTTTCTTGACGGTTTAACTTAACAAATTTTTACATATCTTCCTTTTTTCTTTGGGGAGGGGCTATTTCCGGGCCTTCACAATTCATGGCCCATTAAACATTTATGGGATCAGATGGAACATTACCTACGACCATTTACAACTGTGAGATAGATGAAGCGGCAGTTGTAACATGTGTGAGCGCAGGATAACCTACAGTGTCTGTAAGCCTCCACGCCCTACTGGAAAGCCGCATGTAATCAGGCAAGAGGAATTCCAGCAAGGTATTAAAAGTTGCTTTAAATTATGCTGTTGTTCTACAGGGATTGTCCCTTTGCTATGATATTGTAATCACATTCTATCATTGTCATTACGTTCGTACTAAAAGTTTCATTCGATTCCAATCGGCGCCTCCTTCTTAGTGTCGAACTTTTTTGCCGATGTATGTATATAGCCTAATAAAACAAGTAGAATTAACTGGCATTGCCCAGATTAAAAAGTAACCAAACTTTTTATGGATTTCTATAGGTTAACAAAGACGAAAATTTTGGCTAAATAATTCTATTATTTATCAATCCATAAAGAGAATCTCAGAAAGTAACGTGTACATAATTAGGAGTAGTTAATATTGTTACTGAACGTCTAAGTCTTATATGAAACGTTGCGCGTCTTTTCAGTATTGTCATAAACATAAAGAGTATGTGTACTTCCAACTCTATTTGATTTAGGACAAAGTTTAGAACATAGACAAAGGCTTTTCCTTGTCTTAAACTTTGTCCTTAAGACTTGTTGATCGACGTGGAAAAACTCAGCCGAACAAGAAATTGCAATCTCTTTAAATGGAAAGGATGTGTGTGATGGTATAAGGATGATATATCGTATAAAAACGTGTTTCTCACAGCCAGTTGTGGTTGCAAGAAAGATATTTGCAATCTCTGTTGTAGTAATTTATTAAGAAAAATAGGTATTAAAAGTTCTTATAAGGTAATAAAAGAAACACTCTAAAAAATTATAATAAAAGAATATCTTTAAATCTTGCCCACGCGGAAACCAGCAAAGTCACAAAGTTCGAAAATTTTAATTTTATTCAACTGAAGTGTCACTTTAGCTAATTTATTATGTGACAATTTAAATTTTTGTTATTAATTTTAAAGTTTTAACATTTAACTTGATCATTCTTTAAAAAATAATCTTATTCTTCAACTATAAAAATTAATAATTGCTTCTAATAAACTTGCTAATAATCGTTATTATGATTATAAATGGTAAATTCATAAATAAAATGAAAACTTAATATTAATTTATTTTCAAATTTATATGATATAATAAATATTGTATCAGTTTTGTTCGAAAACAAAACTCTAAAAACAAGAATGTACGCTCAGGTCTTTAATACTGAATATACACTGTACATTTGCATAAGCAGGACTATACTTGGCATAAACTGTATGCTATATCATCTGTGTTTTCGATTCCGTTTAAATACTTTGATAAATATTCACCGATATCTTCATTGTCTGTATTTGAAAGAATTTCCAACATAATATTTGCAATTTCTTGTAATAAATCATCAACTTGTACACGGAAACTTGAGATATGCTAAATAATACAAAAACAATCTGTCAGTGTTATTGCAATTATATTACAGACCCCCCTATAACACTGTTGATTATTTCGTTTTATATGAATTCCGTGTTGTACGAGTCACTTAGATTTTACAAATACGTGAGCCGTTCACAGCCCGGCACACGTATTTGTAAAATCTAAGTGACTCGTACAACATGGAATTCTTATAANAGTTTACCTGATTTATTTCTGTATTCAGATCTTGAAGTGGATCTTTTATAGAAACCATAAGCTCCAATACAGCCCATTTACCCCATGCAGTTATTAGAGCCCATAATTCTAGTATCTCCTCTTTACTTGTAGAATATTGTAAATCTGTTAAGTTAGCAATACCAAATATCCTGTTGTAATATACCTAAAAATTTATTTTAAAAATTTTAATTAAAAATTTACTTTACGTAACTTATTTTTTTTTCGAATTACTACGTTAGAGATTATCTTATCTTAATTAAATATACAAATAATATTTTATCAAATAATATAAGAGAAAGTTCCAACTGTTATTATAGAAATCAATATATATAAAAATTACGTATCAAAATTAGAGATATAAAAATATTTTATCAAGAAAATATTCCAAGTTTTGTAAAATTGATTGCGCATTTTTTGATAATTCTATGCAGGAGGCTGGTATTTTTTTTAAGATAAAACATCACTGGGGATCGTTATTAATATAATTTACGCATATTTTTTTAAAGAAAAAAAAACATAGATAATGATATTTTATATAGAAATTTTCATGAAATGATCATTTTTATAATTTATTTTTATGTGCAAACTTTAATATTAAAATTAAAGAAAAAAAAAGAAAGTCATTAAATTAATTTATTGGAAGAACGATAATTTATATTATTATTTCATATAAAAATGATAAATTATTCTGTAATTTACTTAATAAATATAACCTTTACTGAAGGTTTTTCAGTAATTAGTAGAATTAGAATACATTACGAGAAGTTAATTAAGTTTTACAAAGTAAAAAATGACATTTATTAAAACTTGTTTTGGAATATTGAACAAATGATCTATCTTTATATGTATATACAGTCGACTCCCCTATAACACTGTTGATAATTCCGTTTTATATTAATTCCATGTTGTACGAGTCACTTAGATTTTACAAATACGTGAGCAGTTCACAGCCTGGCACATATATTTATAAAATCTAAGTGACTCGTACAAAATGGAATTCATATAAAACGGAATTATGAACAGTGTTATAGGGGGGTCGACTATATAAAGATAGATCATGTGGTTAAGCCGCCATCTTGTATAAAATTTAATAACTACAAATAAATTAATTAATTTAAGATATTCTATTATATAAATACTTTANATAAATTATTTTTATTCACATTGATTATTATAAGTTTATTTTAATTAGTTTTATTCCTTTACAAATTCAAAACAGCTGACTTTGATAAACACACTGAGAAAATACCAAACATAGCAAGCTTCTTGTCATTTGCATTGAGTGCCAAAGTACAATGTCAGCTAATGAATAAGAGTGACAAAAATGCTTAAAAACAATTTAGATTTTTACTATTGGTTTAATAATATCTAATGTAATGAGTTTTGATAAATGTTGTTTTTTATTTTCATGGATTTATGTACTAATACAACATGTAATCATACCTGAATATAATCATATGTACAATGACACATGCCTTTACCAAATAAATGAGTAAAACTTTATGAATTTTTACTTACATGATTTATGGACCAAAAAAATGAGGGGATGGACAAACACCCCACTGCACTAATGCTGAAAAAAAATTCAGTGCACTAACGCAGGGCTATAAATATCTAAAGTTTGTTTGTTAAGATACGGCAACGCAACACTTGGGCTATTTGCCTAAACACTTAAGTGATCTGTCTAGGGGGATGCCTTCGGGAGGTCTTTTTAAGGGAAACTGGCTCCTATTTAGGTGTTACAGACGTGGAGAAAATCCAGAAAACTCCATGTGGCCAAACCGTCCAAGAGAAGCGCTAACCCACGACTGAACTCCCAGTGTTCAGCGTATGAAGACCGCTTGGCCACTGGTGGGCAAATATCTAAAGTAATTAAAGTGTAACAAGCGTGAAAAAATATGAAAACCTAAAATGTAGTCTGTTCAGTTGTTGAGAATCTCAGAATTTATAAAATTTGGTTATTTATTCTTGCACTAAATGTGAAAATAAGCATCATTAAACCATAAAAGTCTTTATATTTTTGATGTGTGAAGGACAGAATATGAAGACTTTTATTGTTTTTATAATTTGTGAATATTTTTATATTTTATTATCTGACCATTGTGTTTATTAAAATTAAACTGTTTATTCTCCATTTACATGATAAAACATGTATGTTAGCAAACAACCAAAAAAGGAAAAAAATTCCAAGTAACCAAGAAGAAAACATTAAACATTATTAATCTAATAAAAAAATTAAATTATATTAATGTAAACAATTTTACCAGTACATTCAGACCGCAGGTTTCAAACGCCTCGCTTTTCGAACAAAAATTTCAATGCCATATTTGCCCCGGTTGCCTCTGGCCCGGCTGGCTCTTACCAAGTAGATTGGTAAGAGCCAGCCACAGATTAGAGAGACACAGATGGTAAACTCCAACTTCCTGTGTTAAAAAAAGTCGAAGACCCAACCAATCAACAACGGGTTACCGATTTAGAAGTTAGTGGTGCCCAGATCACTTTGAGCCATTAGATGTCACCACACCAACCATCGATGACGTTGCTATTCAAATTATATTACAATGTGTATGCGGATAAGATACTACCTTCCGTTTATCGGTATGCAATTGAATTTAAATTAAATTAATAAAAATCATATTACTTGACATTCGCGTAATATATGGATATAGATATAGGTAAAAATATTATTATATTATATTGTATTTGTAGGAATTTTTAAGCATGAAACACAACTAAAAAGATTTACAAAAAGATTGTTTTGGGTATCGGAAATGGATTAATCCGTATTATATTGTCTTATGGGAAAATTTGTTTCGGTTTGAGAATAAATCGATTTTCGAACTTTTAGGAATGAATTAAGTTCAAAAACCATGGTTTGACTGTATTCGTCTATTATCAAAATAAGTAAATGCTGGTGGTAAATGTTTTTTGTTTGAATAATTCAATGAACACTTTAAAAAAAATCTTTTGAAATAGGAACATGCTGCATTTCAATATTGTTTATCAATTTCACTATCACTTTTTTGATACTCAATATTTGATCATAATTATTAATTTAGATATTGGCATTTTAATAACAAAACTCCTTCATACAATTGGATGGTAAAAGAACATGTATTTGCATATACAGTACTGTATTCTGTTGCCAAGTAAACTGCAAAGAATCTTCTAAACTCCCTGAAAAAACCTCTGAAGTTTTGAATATAAAATCAGATATACGAGGTATTTGCTGATATTTCGCTGAAATTTTATGACAGAAATAATTTAATTTGTTCATTATTAACATTTAATATAATAAATTACTAATATTAATTGCAAAAAAAGTGCTTAATTTTAGCAGTTAAGTGGAAGGGATGTTCTTAACCGATATTACTCAGTACGCTACGTATACAGGGTGTTTCGAGAAGTAGTGGCAACATTTGTATAGTGTGTTCGAATCCAAAAAATATCCGATAAACACAGCCCTTCAAATAACGTTAGAATGCGGGGTAGCACTACTAAGCTTTGAGGAAAATCTGTTTTGCTGCTCTTTGGTTTCTTACCTTCAGAACTTTATGTTTTTGTAAAAACGTTTTGTATGCACGTAAAAATGTTTTGTATGCATGCATTTTGTAATTATTCTTCGACACCCAATTTTTATCACTACTTTAACAATCACATTTAAAATAAATGCACTTTTATTATATGATACAATTCAATATTTCAAATTTAAGAATAAACACACGTTATACATATTTTAAAATATTGTTCAAAATACAATACATACCATAATATTCCCAACCATGTATCAAAACAATGATTACATTGATGTAGATTATAATATAATAATAGATGAATAGGCAGAAAAACTGATAAATTCTACTGAACTATTTACAATGGAAGATGATTTCAAGACCATGATAAAACATGCATGTATTTATGGGTTATAGCTTCTATACATTTATATATTTTTACATATTTAATTAATATTAAAATCAAGCTTTTACAGAATACATTTTTAATGTAATAAACAGTTGAAACATTAATTAAAATTAATAGATATCTGGAGTATTAGTACATGTGGACCATATGAACTTTCAATTCAAGATAATTTCACTGAAAATGTTTCCGTACAACTTGTATCAAATGTATTGATTTTTTAAAAAAATTGCTAGATTTCAATTAGTAGTAAGTCTGTAAATGAAGTATAGTAAGGTTTTGCTTGAACACTGATATTTTAAAAACATTTCTGTTGTTTCATAATTGTGCACGTCCACGAATTCTTCTGGCTAAACGTATATCTGCCTGCATCAATGTGACTCGTTTAGCATGCAAAGAGCATAAGTATGAATCTTCAAACAAATTGACAAGATAACTTTCTGCAGCTTCTTGAAGAGCTAGAAGTGCTTGGCTGGCCCAGTAATAAAAAATTCCCGTTAATTCGGCAGTAATTTCTCTCACCAATCGAATAAATGGCAGTTTTCTAATAAGAAGATTCTAGTAAATGTAAAAAAGTGCAAGATTATGTTTCTGATTACCATTTAGATTAAAATAAAACACAACTAATAATGTAGAATAAATTGAGTTTTGCATAAAATATCTATATTATTCATTACTTTTTAATATACATGGACAAAATTTCATCACAAAAATACTTACAGAACTCTTCTGATATTTTCTTATTTCCATTATTGCTCTAACACCAGGACGATAGCGACGTTTCTTACGCATTGGCTTTTTCATATGCTTGTACTGAGGACTTCTGTTTGAAGTGCTACTGATTGATCTAATTTTGAGTACCAAAAACATTAAAAATACATATAGTTAATTTTAATACTCATATATGTAATAATATATAGTTTGTTTTATACAAAGTTGCTTTAATAAATTTCTACATGAAAAAGTACATATGTAGAAACAATTCAGAAATGTTCAATAAAACTGTGTTAAAAATAACCTGAAAACAAAAATTACACAGATATGAGAATATAGTAATCAGTGAAGTCGTTATATTAGGGCATAGAACAGTAAGAAACAGGATGAAACAAAGTATAATTTATTGACATTATCCATAGTTTGTGACCATAATGTAAGAATGAAGAACATGGAGATTGATGATGATGAAGCAAATCACCAATGCAATGGCTGGGTAAAGGATGATGAATGACTTTACATAAACGGTATGTATATTATCCAAATCAGCTTTCCAGGCAATTGCAAAAAAAAATTTTAATTTCTCATTTCAATTACAATTTACAAATGTGTTCAAAATAGTGCATGTATTTGAAACACATGGAAATTAATATTTATTTCTACAATAAAACTAAGATCTAATAAAAAGTTCACTACAGTATTTTGAACTGGAGCTAGAAAAAATATTAATTTCTTTTACTAAATACTGGTAAGTAATTTTTCCTTGAAACATTAAAAAAATCTTTACATAATAAAATTACATAAGAATGAATTTCAAAATTTGTACAGATTACAGTCTATTTGAAAAGTATATGAAATAAATTTGTTTATAATATAATTGAAAACTTATTAAAAACTTTTGAGATTTCTGTCCACAAAGTTTAAGTTTTAATTATAGATGGGCAAAGAATAAAAATTATAAAAATATGCCATAAAATGCCTACTTAAAGTGAAAACTATACCTGAATTCTGATTATAATCAACCAAATTTTATAAGTGTATTTTAAAGTGTGTTTTGAGACATGTAAATTATGATTACATTAAATGACTGATAACAATACAGTGATCACAATAAGTTAAGTATATCTATATATATAAAATTACATGTCCTAGTTGATTCATCATTGCCAAGAGCAAACAGTTAGGAGTTGAAAGTTGAAATTTGGAAAACAGTTAGGACACGTCATGAGATTGCACATTAAGAACGGATTTTTCGATATTCCCCCAGTGGGGGAGAGGGAGAGGATTACAGCTTACCCTNAAAATATTTCCATTTATTTATTAATCTTTCTTAAAATAATTTATATATTTTTTATTATATTTTATAGATAATCTGATAAAAGTTTTTATCTAAAAATAATATAAAATTAAAATTAATTAGTATATACGAGTTATAATTATATTGATAATAAGAAATTATGAAATCAAAGTAATTTCCAGAAAATGAACAATGAAAGACATTTATAAATAAAATAATATTTTATTTATTTTGTTTTGTCTTAAGATAAACTTTTGGGTCAAAATTATGCGTCATTTGTTCAGTCTTTGACGTCACAATTTTTAAATGTCATTTTAGAGTTCACGACTGGAGCTTGATCAAAGGGGAATAATTTTTTTAAAAAACAAATAAATAAATAAGTTTAGAGGAAAGATTATAACTCTCTCAAAGGTTATTTATAAAGAACCTATAAATACTTTTTCTATATCTTAATACTAGACCTAGATACAGAGTCATTTGATCCGGACCCCCAGATACAGAAAGGATTCAAAATTAAATTTTTTTTGTAAAAAAAAATAACAAATATAAAGTGAAAAAATATATTTATGTGTTTTTATTCGTTTTATTCGTAATACTTTTTATGACTAAGAGATGTTTGCTCTTCATTTATGACTGATTCTGGCTTCACCTCACTCCTCTCATACCATAATACTTAACGCTTGCTTAATTTTAATTAGGGGGCCCCGTGTATGGTGTTGTTTTTAGACATTTTTCTTCGGAAGAAACTTTTGAAGAGAATATTTTCTTGAAAAGATTGGTTTGAGGTCCCCTTTTTCATAATTTTTTTACGCTCGTTACACTTTAATGACTTTAGATGTGAATGAGAGTAGTTTAATGAAGTGTCTGAGTAGCCGTGATGGTCTAGTGGTTAGGACATTGAGTTGTGGCAGTAAATAACCCAGGTTCGAATCCCGGTTACGGCTGTTAACATTAACTATTTATTATTTATCCATGTTGTTTTCGGAATGTATCTATTTCTAGACCGGAATGTGATTATTAATTATGAATATGCTTATAATAATAATCATGATATGTACAAAAAATATTTTCTTGGAAAGAATTTTGTACTAAAGGAATGGTAATTCATGTTTATTATTTTATAAAAACAATCTGGAAGTTTTAATAGTAAATTTTAAAGCAAAAAAAGATTTTCTAATTATGATGATACAACTCATTTAACACTTGATTTATTTTCCTAATCGATAGTTTGAATAAAGATAATGAATTAATTTAATTAATAAGAGATAATACTCATCAATCATGACTCGTGTTAAAGTCATTTATAGTCATTTATGTTTTTTCTGAAATCTTAAAATATAATTTTAAACCCTCAGAAAACAAAAAAACATGGTAATTTACTGACTATTTTATACTACTGACTTATTACATAGATAGGGAAGCATATTTTACATAATTGATGAAGTTTATGTATTTAGAATAGATCCTTTCTAATCCGAAATGATGCAATTTGGAAGTTATTTTCTAAACCTGAAATTTGAGATACAGATGGCCTACCAGTGGCTAAGCGGTTCCGTTCCCTGAACACGGGCGTTCGGTTGTGGGTTCGCACCTGGCCAAGAGGGGCTGGCCACGTGGACTTTTCTGGATTTTCACATCTTTAACGCCTGAATAGAGAGCCAGTTACCTTAAAAAAGACCTCCCGGAAGGCATTCTCCCTAGGCAGATCGCCCAAATGTTGTGTTGCTTTGCCGAAACTTAAACAACAGATAGAGATTAGGCTACCTTAAGTTATTTTGCTTATCTGCTTTATTCTTTCGTCATTTTTTATTCATCAGAAAATCCTTGGATATCTCTATCCAAGGATTTTTTGATGAATAAAAAATGATTAATTACTTTTACTATGCAAACATATATATATGTTTGCACAAAATAATGCAATATATCATTAGTTATTTATTTTCTCGTTGTGTAGAAAATATATTGGCATAATTCTTACGTTTAATAACTCTTAATTGAAATATTAATATCAGAGTATAATATATTATTTTTATCATTAGCGAATTTTAAACAAAGAGACAATAGGGCGTTGCCTGAAAGCGGATGTAATACAGCTGAATAAGCAAACATAATCCATTTCAAATGAAACGGGTTATGTCGTTCGCATACTTATCCAGCTCTATCACCGGGCAATTCGCTCTTTAATTCACTTAAAACATTTATTAAACTTACATAAAACTATCAAGGGCGCCCATACATTGGAGTATTTAGGTTACGTGCCCTTTTTTGTCTGTGCTGCCCTATACCTAATCCCCAAGGTGTCCCAAATTCCATTATCGACAAACAACAGAAAATTTACAAATTCTAGTATATTCTGCAATTATAAAAGAAACTAATGAACGATAGTTGTCCATTGTCCCATGCAACTACGTCATATGTGGACCAAAACTTGGCCTTGAAAACAAGGATCATTTCTTGTTTTCAAGGCCAAGTTAGCTTCGATTACAACCATCGCCATCTTGTGACAGCGCTGATCGACATTGAATCATAGTTTGAAGCTTTTTGCATAGTGTAGGATGCCCTTTTTTTTAATGGTTTGTGCCCCTTTTATATAATCTGAGGGCGCCGCCGAAAACTATATTTTTACTACGACTACGTGACACCCAAAAAAGGAAACTAATGAAGACTTTGTAACTTACATACCTTCCAAGTTCTTCCTGATATGTTGGGCTTCATCACTCGATTGCCTCATTGTGGGCTGGCCGAACCCACAAGGACTTGCTAAAAATGCCTTATTAGAGACCAAGGGATTGAAGGCGTTTAAAAATACTATTTTTCAAATCCCATCTGATGAACTAAAACATTTTACATTATTATTATTATTATTGTTGTTGTTGTTGTTATAAAAATTCCTAACGTAACAATACAGTCGCTACAATATCATTACAATCCGAAAAATACTAATTGCTGGTAACAGTTATTACACATCCAGTAATGGAAATAAACGAAGATATAAAGCCTGGAGTAAATATGAAATTTTCGGATTTAAAACTTGATCCTTCTTATAACTATATTAAATTTTGTGGTAATATTTATAAGAAAAATGGCCCAAAAATGAAAGAAATCCTCAATGCCTTACTTAAATTACAAATGAATTATTTTCATCAAGAGATGCAACGTTTCAAAGAATTACATTGCTTAAATTTGAAATTTTCACAACTCTATGAACCAACGTTCAAGAAGAGATATGAAATTGTTAACGGATCGACAGTACTTTCACACAAAGGAACTTCAAAAGAGAATAATCCGAATTCCAAATATTCTAGAGAAACAAAAAATACATTTGATTTGTTGAAAGAAAGCACAAGTAATGCATCCTCAAATGAAGATAATTCTCACCAAGGCGTGCCTGATTTCTGGTTGAAAGTTCTGCTAAATTCTGATATAAAAGATCTGATCTCTCAAGAAGATAAATTTATCTTGAAGCATCTTACAGACATCAGTGTAAGATACAATGAAGAAAAGCCCAATAGTTTCATTCTAGAATTTCATTTCAGTCCGAATGATTACTTCTTCAACAATACTTTGACTAAAGAATATGAGGTGAGATGCGTTTTGAATCATGAAGATCCTTTCTTTTTCGATGGACCAGAATATGTGAGTTGCAATGGATGTATAATTGATTGGAAGAATAATAAAAACAACGCCTCTAAAAGTTTAAATGAGCTTATAAATGAAGAAATATCAGCGCCATCATTTTTTAATTTTTTCAGTAATCCTTCAACATTCGATCATTTTGATGATGATGATATTAAAGAAATGATGATGTTTGATTTCAAAATTGGACAATACATCAAAGAAAAAATAATACCAAAAGCCATTTTATTCTATACAAATGAAGTAAAAGAAGAAGAAAAGACATTGAAGATCTTTCATCTGTTTTAGATTCAGTTTAAAGAAATACCTAATTTACTAATGTTTAAATAATTTAAATCAAATTAAAGCAGAAACTATTTTATTAGAAATAAAATAAACTACACAAATTAAAATAAAGAAAAAGTATAGATGTACAGAATTGATATAGGAAGTGTTTTAATTAAATGTATACTGATTCTTTCTGTTTTAAAAAAGAGGTCGTGGTCGAAATTCTCATCTCTAAAATGTGAACGTCGAACATTAAGCGCCGCCATCTTGTAAGCCTAGAAGTTTGACAATGGCGTTTGGAGCGTCCAGCATGGTTCCAATGACCTTCCAAACGCCGTTGTCAAACTTCTAAGCTTACAAGATGGCGGCATTCAACGTATGATGTTCACGTTTTAGAGATGAAAACTTCGACCACAACCTCTCTACTGTCCCTTCCGCTTAACTGCAAGAATTAGCCTATTATTATTTCTTTCGAAAAATTTCAACGGAATGGGAGCAAATAAGTTATATCCAATTTCAGGGTGTTTTCAGAAAGTTAAAAAGGTTTCACAGCAGGTTTATAAAATTTCACTTGGCAACAGAATACAGTATATGTAAATACTATATGTTCTTTTAACATACAATTGTATTAAGAATTTTTGTTTTTAAAATATCAAATCTAACTTATAAACTATTAGGAATATTGAGCATATATTGAGGATCAAAAAGTCATGGTGAACTTGATAAACAATATGACGATACAGCACGTTCCTATTTCAAAGTATTTTTTTGCGTTCATTAAATTATTCAAACACGAAAAACATTTTAAGCTCGCATTTACTTATTTTCATAATAGACAAATACTGTTTACATTAATATCCCTTGATTAACGCGGTTAATTAATCCCTCGATGCTACCGCCTATACGGTATCTATGTTAAGACAGTTAGTTAATTAAAACTTCTGTAGTGTGTATAAACAGATCGCAGCAATTAATTTCGCTCTTTAAATCAAATTCCGCGCCTTTTAATTCCCATTGACGAGTTAACTCGTCAAGTTTACCTAGCGTTACGAAAAACTCGGTCGTTAAAGCCACTTCTGACAATTTTTTTTTCAATTTTTGGAATGTTTTTTTTGGTCCACAAATTTTTGCCCGCGCGAAAAAATTTTATCGCGATTTTAAGTAGCCTTTGATAAGGCTCGATTAAGGCTTAATTGTTTTTTAATGGGATTTTTTAATCAAATTTAATTCATCATTCTAAAGTTCTAGCGCACGGATTTTCCTTCGGTAAAGTTATTTAAAGCTAGTTTCTGATGTCAAAAACGACCTCCGATAGTTTTTTAATTTTTTTAATTAATAGATTTTATTATATAGAAGTTTAATTAATTAGGGGGGGTCGGAAATCTCAATAAAAATTATAATTTTTTAAAAATATTTAAAAATATACCGCCAGATTGAAGTCACCCTACTTCAAACCCTTGTCCTCCTGCGATGTCTATGAGAATGTCCCGGGAAATCCGACTCCAGCTGTGTTCAAGGTCATCCAGCTGTGTAAACAATAACTCATCGGTGTTAAATTTCGCAGAAAGGCCAGACAAAAAAACTTAGACTTTGAAGCTTTTTCTTCAAAATTAACGCATTTCTTTCGTTTTTTTTCAGTTTTAAGTATTTTTTATGCTTAATTAAAAATTCTAAAAAAATGGGCGGCT